TTATTTTCACACATATTCAATCTCCACTGCTTTTACTTTGTGTAATTCCTGAATTTCATTGACACATGGGATTTGTTAAATTTTTAATAATGTTGAATTTCAAGCAAACCTTTTTCTTCGGAATTGACGAAACTGGCAAAACAAGTTTTGCCTTTGTGACCATAATAATTTTTTAAAGTCGAGCGATTCTAACGTTCTTGGTCTTTGTATTCCTTCATATCATCTTTATGTTGAATTCTTTGTGTTGAATGGTAAATCAGCACACGTTCGTTTTATTCTGATCTGGACATATGTAGATCTACTGCAATTATATTAAAAATAGAAAATTGTCGTTACATTATTTTAACGCATTTGCAGTTGTTAGCTTTTTTTATTTTAGAAAATAAGAAACTTTTTACTTTGTGAAAAAGCAAACAATATGCTCAAAGCTTAATTTATTACCTGACTGCGAATTTTTATATTTTTGCGATTGAAGAAATGATGTTTAGAGAGAGAAAATTTCATGATGCTATGATAGATACACTACTTTCGGTGTTTCATATATTTTTGTATATCATGTATATTACATTAGCTTTTCGATAGATTTTTGAAATTTCAAAATTCCTAAAAATATATAAATAGCCACAGTTTACTTATTTAAAACCAAGCAACGTCACATTATAATTATTGCTAGAGACTAATTAGAGTTATTAGAGTTATTAGCATTGTAGAGTTGTAAAATCGATTTCATAGAACAGAAAAAATATTAATAGTTAAAAATATGTATTTTTTGGAGCAACATTTTTAATTCCTTAATGAGTTAACATAATGACTTGACAAAAATCGAAAGAAGGAATTGACGACGAGAATTGAATTCATGTCAGCGAATGTGTTAATAAAATTAAGTTTTTCGAAGAAATTTGTTTCTTGAGTAAAATTTACAACTTGGAAGTTATAGTTTACAGTATAAAACAACTTCTAGCGTGTCATTCTATTTTGCTATATTTATTAGGAAAGCGCGTAATAGAGATAAATCAATAAAAAAAAAATTATTAAAAATTTAATTATAACGCAATAGAAAATGAGGGTCCGAAAGTAGAGAGTAAAACAAATCTTCATTAAAAAAAATCTACTACTCATGGAAATTCCTTCTTCAATCTAATTATCCCCTTGATTTTATCACCTGTTTTTTTTCACAAATTACTTAATTCCTCGATTTCCAAGTCTTTTCAATTCTGTTGGTCTCTTAATAATTACGTCGTCTCCTTGCATCGCGAAAGAAAAAAAAGGGACAAAAGAAAAAAGAAGAAAATAAATTAGGGGTATATAAATGAAGTAAAAAAAGAACGGAAATAACGAAAAGGTCGGGTCTAACAAGACATCGTTCGCCCGCAGAGACACCGCGCCGTAAATTTTTTAAGGTTGTTTTCCGAGGGTAAGGAGGATGGGAGGGATGAAAAATGTCTGCGTGGGACTGTTAACCGTTTCCTCGGGGTCGCAGTCACAGGTGAATAGAACCACTGTGACTCTAAAACGACCGCTGAATGGCTGAATGAGAACTCATTATCGAGACTCACGGGGCTGCTTATGAGACCGTCACACTGCGATTAATAATCCCCCTTAAAAAATAGTTCGTTCAAGTTTCAAACTTTTGCCCTTCGGTAATTCTCTCGCCGAGCGCGCCGCGAAACTGCTCCGACGAATTTCGTTTCATTGCGCGGGTTAAATGAAGCGAATAATTTATTACACTGTCGTGCGGATGAATTTGTATTTTTTTCACTGGCAAGCAGATAGGAAACTTCTTCACGTAACAAATGTTACATTAAATTGACGTACATGGTGGATGGTGTGATTTGATCCATGATTATTCGATGTCAGATATTTAACAAGTATGATCAATACAATGGGGATTTTATAATCAGTCGTATGTTTCAAGAATGTCCAGCTGATCTGAAAGAACTACTTGAGGACAATCGCAGTTATATTGTTCACTAATAAACGTGACACAAGAGAAATTTTACTTAATTAAAAATAATTTCATTACATCTGCATTGTTAGCAAGCAATGAGGTTGATGTAATTATAAATTCCAAACAAAAGCTTCCGCATTAAGGGAATGACTGATGCGCGTGTATGACTGATGAGACACGAAATTATCAACAATAATCAATATTAATTAATTAATAGCAATCGATTAATTTTAACCAAATTAACCAACAATCAAACAAAATTGTTTTTTTTTACTATTTAAAGATCAACATTATTATCAAGAAAGAATCTTGACATTAATCAACAACAATCGGTTAAATATTTCAACTGTAATAATTAGAATGCATCGAATCTAGAAATCTGATTAATGCCATTTTTAAAAAGGCTAGAAACTTATATTGCGAAATCTCATCTGCAACATTGTACTTTGAATATTTTACATATTTCTTCATATTACGCGCACTCTGAAATTTTCCACAACTAACTGCGTAAATATCGCCGATCTAATAATGACAGCAGCTCGATACATTTGTAGATATTTTTTTATGCACATTTACGACGAGAAATGTTTTCATTTCTATGAGAATAGAGATTCTCCTCAAATTCCTCCGCGTCTCTCTTGTCAATATTTTCCATAAATGTTTCCTTTCAATTTTTGAACGATTGGTTTCCCGTCAGCGTTTTTTGAAAAATAATGGAACGTGTGAATAAAAGATTGATTAAAATCGCAGCGAAATCGCCGAGAAACAAATAATTTTTATCTTCACATCTTTCGATTTTCCTCTCGCTCTCCCATTTAATGAAAATTCGTTTTTTTTTCTTTTTTTTTAAATAATTTTCACTTCGAACCACTGTAGTAGTGCGTGTAGTAATATTCTGCGGCGGGATTTTCATTTATTTCAATTTAACGGTGCTTGAATCGTCGAAACTCGAATATTTTCACGGGTACATGCGCGTTTATTAATATTAATAGTCTATATTCTACGGAATTTCTTTTCACACTCGCGCGAACTCGATTAACCATTTTGTACAGCTTCGTTATGCAAGCGACTGAAAATGTAATTTACAGATTTCGAAACGCCGCGGCAATATAATAAATTAGATTTTTAATATTTCAAACGAGCCCCTTTCGCAAATGTGGCAACATTTGAATAAATATTTAATTAAATGTTTCGATTACTGCCTCGCGAAGTATTAAAGCGTACAAAATTCATAAGTTAATAATAAATTAGTAAGCTGGATATCCAATATTTATTTAACACGTAATTTCGTTGTTTTAAGAATTATTTACTATAACACGTTTTACACGCGAATCAAAATTATTTAATAGAACTGTTCAATCTTCCTCACAATTTAGTATATGTGTATTCTATAAATCTTAAATATTTACGTCTGTCTGTAAATATTTAAAACCACTTAGAACCATAGATCATTATTATATATACGTTTTAATCAAATATTACGTGCAACTTAAAATTGAGTAAATTGCAAATTACTGAAAGTATGAGAATAAATTTTATTTCAAGCAATATCAATATAATCTGTTCTCTATATGTTTTTAGAATAATTCGGTGAATCTTAAATACTTACATTATTGTTTTATAAATGCATAAGAAGATTTAACGCTCGTAAATCAAATTACGAGGTTGAAAGCACGAAACTAAATTTAATTCGAAACGACACATTTTAAATGAAAAAAATTCATTTAAGGTTCAATGTTGATTAACCATTTCTTACTTCTTCTCTCGATAAATACGATAAGATTTTATCAGAAGATTTTCAATTCTCATTTTCTGAAAATTCTATATTTTCCATTGTCCAATTATTTTCATTTGACTTTCATAGGATTTTCACGTAAAATTACGCACACAGAGCCATTCATTAATATTGATCAATTAATTTAATTGCTCACACATTTGACAATAAAATATTTCGTAACAATATAAAACGAGACTTTCATATCTTTGAACAATATTTGCAGTCTTCAACTGTAATCTCTAAAACTTCTTCGATATCGTAAATCTTACTTGCTTTCTTTCACGAAATGCTTGTCTGTAGAATGATACAACATTCCAAGTGCCGTATACAGAGTGTTCTACAAGTAAAAATAAGATTAAAGTGGCCACAAATGCTTTGCTAAATATAAAGCGTGATAACACTTGATCGATACAAATCAACAAGTCGAGAGAAGAAACAAATTTCCTGGTCTCCTGTGTCACCTTGCATCTTCAAATACAAGAGTAAAATATTTATTATACAGCGTGTCCCATACGAAACTTGGCTACAAATCTTGTCTACGTGGTCATGTTTCTTTGAACGGAACCGTATATATTTCTGAGTTCACAGCCTTGTAACTGGCATCAAGACGAATTCAGCCATCTAGATAATGTTAGTGTTTCGAAATCATTTAACGCCGCTCAAAACTTACTTTCGTTGAGCATCCAGAGATTGTTTCTCGATCCATGATATTCGTAAAATGTCTTCCTTGGGACAATGTAAGCGTTATTTGAAACATTTTTTTTTTTCTATAGTTTAAGAGAAAATTGCGTGGTTAGCTTCATATGGGACACCCTGTGTAATTAAACGATTAAAGACATCACCTCATCCCTGAGAATCCATACTCCGTTTTCTACCATTTCCTCCTTGAAGAAGTAAAGGTAAAAGGGGGAAATTCCGAATTGACGATATCGAGATCAACGAACTTGTTTTGCCCAACGCCGTTATCTCTAAATTTCCGTCAATTAACCTCGCTGGCGAATTCGACGATTCACCCCGGCACGGAAGTGATTCGAAAATGGAACAGCAGCGGAGAGATGGAGGGGGGGGGGTGGTTGTTGGGGCGAAGGAAGAGAGAGATTGAAAGAATCGTTATCAACGCGTCGTATCGGAACACGTTTCTGACCACGCGAGAGCAAGCACTCGAATTCGTTGTTTCCCCGGCTGTGAAACACACGGGGTAAACCGGATCAATATTTTCGAGTCGATATTCACCGCGTAGAACAAATACTCTAACGCTCCGTCGTTCGCGTAGAAACGAGGCAGAGCTTGCCGGCCGGTGCACATCCGCTATTGCAACTCCCTGTTCCACTTCCCCGTGGAATTCGCACTACTTTCTCACCTCTTTGCTCGACTCTTTCTTACTGCGTTTGCCTCGTTGTTTTTTCTTTTTCTTGTTTTTCGTTCCTGAACGTTGCGCGTGCACAAGTCACGGCAACCTGCGAGCAAAAGGTGCAGAATAATCTGACCTACGTGATCAGCCCTGGCTTCCCCAACCTCATTGACTGGCCCATGAACTGCTCGGTGGTCGTGCAGAAGATCGATAGGCAGGTCAGCCAGCTCAGGATCGATTTCGTCCACTTCAACATAGTAAGCCACGCACAGCTTTGCCATTCTTTGCTCCACTAACCCGTGGAATACTACGCATTTGTGATTACACCCACGCGTCACACCATTTCCCATTGTACACGTCAATTCTCTGTCCCTCTCTCTCTCTCTCTTTTTGTTACGTCTCACGCCACCACGTTGGATATCGTGGCCTGTTCAAAAGCCGAAAAGCCGAATTATCAGAGCGCCAGGATTTCGCCGCGCGACGTTCACGGAATGGTGGCGTGTGTTACTGTTGGCCCCTAATTGAGAACGCAAGCAAGAGTTCACTAACCCGAATACACGGTCCCCGTTGACATTTATGAGTGTCTTCTGGCCACTCTTGTAAAATTCAGCCGCGTTCACCTGTGAGATTACCACAATTTCAAATTAACCGGGTGGCCAGTCGTCGGAGTCGAGAGAGGGTGGAGATCGACGGAATGAATTTTTTAAAGAGTCGCGTAATTTAAGGGCGAAGCCATCGTTTCTTTTATGCTTTTTGTTTGTTAGATGTGGAACGTTTCATGCTGATGTAGATCGTGGCAATCTCGACGATGGCAGAGCGTGGACGAAATAAAATGACTTGTAGGTCCGTTGTGAAATGACGACGGTTTGCTGGAGAACACTGACGTATTGAAGACGTCCGCGGAAAAATAAAAGTTTGCTCCCATTACGCGATAAATTTAATTTTAAGAAATTTTTCAGAGATTAAATATCCGCGGAAAGAAAAATATCATAGTCACGAGTGAAATTAACCGCGTTAAGAAAATTTCTTGAAACATTTAAAGTACTTCGAAAATTTTGAGGTACCTGTAGTAGAAGTATGAAGATCACGAATAAAATTATTAAAAATTTTCAAGATATTCGAAACATTTCAAAAGTTAAAAGATACTTCGTATTTGCAAAGGTAGAAGCATTGCAATCGTGAATAATACGTTTTATTTATTTATTATGATATTGTTGCTCATGTAATTTAATAATTACAATATAAGTATAATGTAATATAAGAAGTATCATGGCCACGAATAAAATGATTTATTTATTCATTAAAATATAATAATATTATTACAATTTACATAATATTTAACGTAATATTCATTTATTGCACTCAAGGTACGTTTTGTATGTTAGATTCAGATTAGAGATAATCAAGATAATCAAGTTAAGATCGTTGTATCAAACATTTCAGAGAAACAGCGAATGCTTCTTCGAACAGAAGACTGTTAATTATATTGCAGGAAAAGTTGTTCTCATTTCAAGTAATTTTTACTTCGTACTATTTTCGTGCTTCGTGCTATTTTTATCGAAACTTTTAAACAAAAACGCACGACGCGAAAGATAATTAAAAATTAAGATTGCATAGAGTATAATTGTACGCGGTAGTAGCTGAAAGTTGCACCACGCAAATTAAACTTACTGTACATTTCTTTTCAACACGAAGTGTCCCTGAATAGTTCAACCAGCGTAGAAACAAGAGTAATACACTTCCTCGTATGAATATTTCCGTCGATTGCAAATTAATAGCGGCCGGAGCGATGAAATTTTAATTACCTGGCTTTGCCATATGGCGGGTGCACTTGTTTCCCTTTTTAAAAGGCTGAACGAAGAAGGAAGATAAACGCGCAGTTTATTGTTGCTACGCTATAACTGATCAACGAAAGTGGTACAAAATGTGAAACAAGAATTTCTTCAGGCTGTAAGAGTAACAAAGAAAATGAAGTTACAAAAAAAGAAACACAAATGCGAAGTATTCCACTATTTTACTGAAAGTTAAGTTAACGTTTACTAATAATTAATAACAGAAACTCTATTATTACTGAAAGCTAGACACTTGTGAAAAAATATATAAAATGAAGAGAATCTGTTTCCAAGGTCGTAAAATTCGGGAAAGAAAGATAAACGTGTAGTATTCTTGACTATAAAGATTAACAAAATGTTACAATAATTATTTATTATAACTAATTAACGGATGTAATAATCATTGTCAATTTTACTAACTATAATGAATATAATAACAATAACTATTATTAGTGATTACAATGCTTGTAACAATAATTACTTGCTATAATTAGTCAACGGAAAGTGATAATAATTATTTACTACAATTAATTGACATTTATATTACATTCTCATATCCATATTTCTCTTCATCTACAAATAATCATTGTTGAGAAATCATCAGATACTTGTATAAGAGTACATGTGAGAAAGGAAACAAATTAAACAATGTCTCCCGCTCTGTAAGGATAAGAATAACAAAGTGAAAAAAGGCGAGGTTAATCGATGAAACTTAATTAATAATAAGTGTCGCTTAATTTCTTCAAACGCCGCCAGCGAATGAGGCGGATCAAAGACGGCCACAATCTACTGGCTGGTTCAGAGTATCCGAATGGCCTGTACATGTGTGTTCATCGGCTGATAAAAATCGGCCGCATTTACTGCACGGCTTGTTCATTCAAGAGCCTTATCGATCGTCGTAGGGGCAACCCAACTCCAGGACTGGCGTATGTGACGAAGATATCATGGAGATCAGAAACGGCAGGAGCGTGTTTCAAATGTGCGGCTGGAACAGCGGCCAACATCGTGAGTAACAGATTTCTCTAATGCTCGCCGAGTTAAAACTAAAACTTCACATTTTTTCCTGCAATTTCGCGCCCCGCGTCTTCGATTTCATCCGTCCCCTTTTCTTCCTCTTCTCTTCCTTTCTAGGCAAGAAAGAAAGACATTAGAAATATTCCTAGTTGATTTTACCTCTTTTCCTAGCTGGTTTGGCGCAAAGAGGTTTTTCGTAAACCTCGAGAGTGATGCCGGTGAAAAAAAATTTCAGTGGTCGAAGCTAAATGTATATCTTTTGTCTTTGCGTATTTGTACGGTGGATCGATCGATCGGATGGGAAACCTTGGTCAACACCCAGGCAGTATTCCGATTTATCAACAGAGTTGAGAAAATTTTTATTCAATTAATAAGTAATAATTAAAAGCATCGTTTTAATTACAAATGGCGAATAAATGAATAAATCGTTTCTAAATTAATAAATTATTCAGATATACAAATGATATTTAAATGATGTCAGAGATCATTTATTTCTTCAAATAAAAGGTTACTTCTTGTTTCGACATAAATAATAGCAAATTTGTTGTATTTTGCACGATAAAAGAGATGCATAAGTAATATGATTTCTTGTAATTCCTAAGGAATTAGGTCACTTTATTAAAATAATTAATAACAATTTCTCTGTAACTTTTCTTATTAAAAACTGCAATTGAAGGAAAATTTGAGAGAAGGCCTTTATTACAAGATACAATTTCGAGGTAGATTTTTTCCTCCCTATTTTATTCCTTACAAAAGAATGAAATTAGAGGAAAATTTGGAATGAATTTTTACTACACAAACGTGAAGAATATTTATGTATATTTCTGGTTGCGCTGATATTGCTTTGGTGCAGCAAAATTTCAAATGATAATGTACGCGTATTATAAGCACACGATTTGAGTTAAAGAAAATTTAGACAAAACATTGTTAGCTTCTGTGCAACATTTTCCTGGCAAAATGAATGCAACTTATGAAAGATATTATCTTCTGTGGAAATTGTACGTTCTTGAATGAAAATTCTTTATAAAAATGTGTGCAGCAAGAAAGATTCCGACTACTTTAGAAAATCTCTACATACTTCCCGAATAAATGCAGACTAAGAATCATTCACTTTTGCTTGAAATTCGTAATTTACGATATTCTGAAGAGGGTCATTAAGAATTGCGCAGCATTAAAACAATTCCAGTCTAGTTATTTTGTACAAAAAGAAAAAAAGAGAAAGAAGTACACAAAATATTTTTCAAGATCTGTGATGATGAAGTCCTTACTACAAAATTCCCCTTTAATTTCATTCCGTCGCAAAGAAAAAATACAAAAGAGAGTGTCATTAATTTTACATTCTCAGGATAAACTAATTGGTAAACTTTAAAAAATCTGTTTGTCGTGTATGCGTCATCTCTATTATTGTAATGCCTTTGTTATCGACATCGAATAATTGAAACAATACAGCGAGAAAAGCAAGAAGTACAACTGAAATAATTGACTTCATATTCTTTTTTTTAATGTATTAGTCTCCGTTCCTGCATAAAACGATAAATAATATTCCAACAAACGGTAATTAAAACTGCGCTTGTAAATTAATTCATTTAATTCTGTTCGAATAACAAATAATTATCAATTATTAAAGCAATTAAACCTATTAATTTCATACTTTCGCCATTACCGTTCTGATACTGCATAAACAATAAATGATAAATAATAATTAACATGCGACAATCAGAGCTACGCTTCTAAGTAACAATTGACTTTATTATTTTAATCAGTTTTATCCCACTGATCTTCGCTATTTTAATTTAACCACGTAACAAGCGTTTGTTCCTAGCGTTTTATTTAAACTCGCCACTAGCAAATTGCTTCGTTATTTAAATAGTTACTCAACTAATATCCAACCACTTCGGGATTAATAAACGAAGTTCGTTTGATAAATGTTCGCTTGATAAAGTTATTCATCAGCTTCCGATTAAAATATCGCCGATATCGCATTCCCAACGAACGACCGGGGAACAATCAATCTCGCCTGCAAAACTGTACGAAAAAGGGCGCACTGCGAGACGCGATGTTTTCCAACCGAGTTTTCTCTCCCCCGGCGACGTTATAGAGATACCTACCTAGTCCTCGTTAAACAAGATCAATCGATCTTGTTTCGATACAAAGCTTCCTGCAATCGAGATAACCGCTCGTGGGCTCATTCCTCTCTTTCTTTTCCCCAGTGTACATAGACCTGGACGACGACGAACAGTCCTTGACGCTGGATCTCCGATTACTCGGCAGCCTTCAGCCACGAATGTGGGAGATGAGGGTCGTGCAGCTCGGTTTCGACCAACGTGCACCCACTGGCTGCCTCCAGTACTTCCAAGCCTCTAACGGCACATTGAAATCGTTGAACTTCTTGTCGAACGGCAGGTTCCTCGCCAACCAGGACTACCTGCTCTGTGTCCGTCAAGAGAGAGGCATGTGCGGGATCTCTTACGCGCCCTGTTCGCCCGATTCATTCCGAATCGGTCTGCGCAGGACGCAGTTGACGAATAGTACGGCATCCAACGCGAATTCGAACTCGACTATGGGTAACACGGACGACGCGGGATCTCTGAATGCGACGAGTATCGAGATCGAGGGGTCCGGATCGAGCCCGACGGACGAAGGTGGGATCTCGACGAACACGAGCAACCCTATGGAACAGGAAGTGGTTTACGGACAGGAACGATGTCGAGACAGGGTGCTCATCCCCTGTGACTTCGAGGAATTTATCACGGTAATGTTTTTAGCTTGTTTGCGATGGCTGGCTGTCGTTGAGGGACGAGAGCTTGAGTACGGATGGGATCGAATTATAGATGTGCTTATGAATCTGAAGCGAAGTACGATGAAACGAGTACAGTCGCGGTCACTTTTAAATATGAATTATTGAATTTTTAAAGAGGACAATATATTTACAAAAGAATATAACAATATATGAATAAATAATATTCAATTAAAATTAGATTAGAGTTAAAACACTGAGATCAAGGAAAAATTAATATTAATAATTTTAAGCAGTAATTTAAATATTCTTTGATAAAGAAAAAAAAATGTTTTGACATCAAATTTGAAAAACTCGAATGAAAAGCATTCTCAAGCGGAACAAAAATTCATGATCCCTGAGAACAATTACTTTCTATTTAATAATTAGAGTAGAAAGTAAAATAAAAAGAAATAAATAACAAATTTATCTAAAAACCTCATCTTTCTGCACCTAATGATAGATAACATTAACAATTCAAATTTTCTTTAAATGAAGTAAAAGATATTAAAACATCAAATCAAACAGTATATAGATAGAAATATCTCCGAACAAATAACAAATAACAAATAAAATTTTATCTATTGAAAGTTCTTAGCGCATACACGCATACAGTTTCCAACAATTTTCCGAAAAGAACATATTTAAAAGTATTCAAAAACAATATTCGTATTCGCGAATCAAGCTTCAAACAAATATAAGACTATTTCATGTCACAAAGATTATAAAGATGATCTTTTGCCAAGGATAGTATCGTATACTTTCTGAATCTCCAATAGGTAAACCGATTACCTTATTACTAATTACAGGATTATCTGTACAAATAACAAAGACTCAAAGGGTTGAACAGCATTGTTTCCATTTCTGAAAATACCTGCGAAACGTTCAACACTTGGATTCAAATACTATACTTGGAGAAGTATAATTATCATTGGAAAGTAATGATCGAACGAATCGTTAAGATCCAAAGTATCTACGAACGCCTGAATCTAGTTGCGAAATACTCGATCCCATCTCTAACGTCGGGGATTCGGCTAGGTCAGAGTATAGCAGATCGATGTTATTAATCGTCGTGCTGACAACTCGACGAGTCGCTGGGCTGTTTCTTCGGTTCGCTAGATCGTAAACCGTGCTTTCGTTGGCTTTCCAAGGGGATTAGACACCACCGAGCTTTGTAGGTTAATAATTATGGTAATGGTGGTTTGAAACGGCACTTGTTAAAGTTGTATCGCCGGCCCCTGCGAATTGTCGTTTGCTTTTATGGGCGATCTGCTATCGCTGTTTGAAAGTGAATCGAATTGGTACATGAATAATTCATGCGAGAGGTATTAAATTGATCGGTGGTCCCGTGGTCTTTATTCTTTGGAAGGGAAGACAGTCGAAGGGAAATCGGCTGAAATTCGAATCAAATTTCTGTTAATTACTTTTCACGCATTGATGTTGGATATATCTTTTTTTTTTTTTTTTTTTTTTGATTAAAATATACTCATTTTAGCATTTAAACGATATTTGAATATTTACAATAGAATATTTAAAATAAAATATTTACAATATATATAGATATTTTTAATTGATGTTGCGAATTAAGTAAAAGTACCATGAATTAGAATCATTTTAATATACGGTGGATAGGTTTCGCCTTTTTGTGTCTGTGACATTTCTTTCTTCGTGTACGAAAGACGAAGATTAGTAAAATTTAGGTCAACTATAATTTATATTACAATGCACGTTATGCATATTTATGTTATACTACAAGAATAGAAACTTGATTCATATAAGAATTATTCTTTATATTACGTTATATTACATTATATTATTCTTCTTAATATTACGTTATATCCTTAACATTCTTTCATTATATTCTGATTTCAGTCATCTTAATGTTACGTTAAATTATTCATTATATTTATATATTTATATTCTATTACATACGTATTAAAATGTACATTGTATTTTAAAGTAATATATCTTTTTTGAAGCCAGTGTATATAATACATATATTCAGTATATAGATAGCTATAAACTTCACAATTGAAGAGACAAGGTATTCTACATCCAATTGATTTTAGATGGTAATTTTCTGGGTATAATACGCCCGTTGCTCGAGTGAACATAACTTTTTGCAAGTGGTTAGAATGAAACCGTTCGACGATTAAAAAGTTTGTGGCGTGTCGTAAACCCCGGGCATGCAACTTGCCTGTTAGGAGGACTACATCGAACAGCGAATTTTTCCAATCTCTTGTTCTGCTGTTTTTTTGTAGTTGTGAGTTGTTCTTACACAACAACGAACGCTGCAAAATGTTGAAGAAAATTTAGTTTAATCGAACCAAACTCCGTTACATTTCATTTAGAATATAATCGAAAACAAGTTGAAATAGTGAATTTGTTTATCTTACAATATAGAAAAAGCAACAAGTTATTCATCGTCGAGATTTAAATAAATATAATTTCCAAGTAATTTATTATTCGAGTTTAAATCGATTATTCATGTAAAATAACGTCGCGTAAGATTAGAAAGTGTTTGAAAAGTTTATTCAAAAATTTATTATAGGAAATAAAAGATAAAAGGGAGAGGAGTAATTAAATTAAGAATCATTCTCATATTCACGCACAATTATTTCAAATAATATATTATTTAATTCACGATTTTGAAACATATTATTATAAATAATGTCCAAACTATGAATCGGTTACCTAGTTGAGTCACAGTGGGAAATTTGTAATGAAATACGTTTAAAACGGATTTACGATGTTTTTTCTACAGAGGCAATTATAACTTGCATAACTGGTAACTATCTATTTTACGGCCACTTTAATTATGCCAATTACTTTGCCAATTATACCAATTACTTTAATTATTCGCAGTGGAATTTAAATTATGGAGGGAAATCTGTACGATGAAAGTAAGAAAAATAGGAAACTTCACTTAATTTCGTTCATTTTTCACAAGCACCGAACAAAGCCCCGACGGACTATGCATAATGCGAGCTTGTGGAAGCTCCGCGATGCGAAAAAATTACGATGCAGGTGTCTAAAAATGCGTGTAAAAAATGGGAGATGTTGTTTATCCTCGTGAATATTACTCGCTACGTGCTTATGTTACAAACGCGTCTAAGAAAGTAATTGAAAAGGATCATGGTCTTAAGTGAAGAAAAGTTGCCAACTTACTTGCACAGATTCAAATAGTAAGATGCTGCTTTCATATCGGTATTTTATGTTGCAGCTTTTTAATTCTTACAATTAAAGAAACAGACATGTGAAAAATATCAGTATGGTAGTATAACCATATAAATATATTGATACACTTACCTGGAAGCAAACTGCTCATGAAAATCCTCGGAAACTTTTCATAAATGTATCACGTTCTGTTGTAAAAGAAATAATTTAAAATTTCATTAACAATACAACATGACTTTATCGTTGTAATTAAACTGATCAAGTTTGTAAGAAATCTAAAACTATACAGTATATAATTTAAAAATTTAGTATATAGTATTTCGCAGAGATTAAAAAAGTGATCTCTTTATATTAATATATCTTAATATTCACCTTTTATTATTACATAAGATATATTATGTGCCTAAGGTTATTATTCATACTATATATTAATTTCTTACTAAATATAAATAAAATTTTGAAGTACGTTAAGATTTCAGAAAAAATAATGACTTCTTTAGTATAAGTAAATGAGTATTTTATCTGTGAATATTCATTAATATTTTGAAAAATTGAAAAATATAATAATATATTTAGAATTGCATTTTATAATTATAATACTTTTGTTTCTCCGAAGACTATGGAAAGTTGATTTTATTTTAAATTTTTACGTGAGAGTGTATATAATTGCAATGAATATCTAGTAATTTCTACATACTATAATAAATTGTTTATCATTAGATTATTAGTACATATTAATCAGTTAGTTTATGTTTGATTCATCTGTGCAAAGAAAATCGATAGAATTGTCCATGAATATTTCCAGTATAACATATTTAATTAACGATCTTAATTATTGAAAAAGAAAATAAGTCAGTATGTATATGTACAATAATAAATTCTGTGCAGAATTTACTTTCTTTAGAAAGGAAAAAAAGAAAAAGAAATAAGAAAAAAAAAAGGAACACTTAGAATTGAGAATTAAATCTCTACAAGTTTAACTAACCTTCTCTTTCTCAGTTGTCGTAAAATGGATCCTCGCCTTTGAACTTTGGGTTTCTCTGTTGCAGCCTGGCAACAACGAGGCCGGGATTTGCAACCTTGAACATTGCGGCAGCTCTCTGTGCGATCGAAACGAGCTGGACGAAGAAGGTAACTGCCGCGTGGAAACTTGGGCAACGCCCTTTCGTATTAGGATAGCTTTTGGTCCTGGACAGGACATGGGGACCACGCTCGAGGACAATATTGGCATGTGTCTTGTGTACGAACAACTAGCCTGCGTCGCCTGAACAGCCTTCGAGTGATAAACGAGTCGTGTGAAGTGTGAAGCAAAATCACAGAGTTCACGTGAGATCGACGACTTGATGTTTTACTTATAGTAATATAGTAATATATAGTAATATATTAGTAATATAATACAGTAGTAAGAATAAATTTTATATGTTTTTTAACCTCTTGTCTTACAATCAGAGTCACGCGCGAATCGAACCAGTGAGTTGTCTTCCATTAAAGATGACTTGTGTCGCATCACGACACTCTTTTGTTGTTGAAATCTTCAGTCAATGAATTCAGTTCAGTTATAATATTCTAATGGTTATTACAACGATTAAGATCTTTCATCAACTGAAGATTTCGACAATGAAAGGGTAGTTGCGTGGCATAATTTATTTTCAATGTGAAGTGACTTACTAATTGGTTTCTGGGTCCTCCCTCCTCCCCATGTGTAAGTTCAAAAATTAATCATTTTAAAGAAATATTAGAATCGAAACGTAAATAATGTGAAACTGTACATTGAGACGGAAAGTAGTGCAAAAGAATATTTTATATTAGTTTAAAATGAATGTAGTATGTAGTCTTGCTTGGAATTCATTGGATATCTTTTATTTTCAATATTCACTATTTATCATAGATTTCTGACATTTGTAAAAAATTAGTGCTTGGCAGAAGAAAAAAATTCAAGACAAGAGGTTATAATATACCCACGATAACCGTGCGAAATTTTCTATAGAAACCAAATTTAAAAATTTTTAATGAGAGAAATACATTTTTTTCCTCACAATTCGACCATGTGTGCGTGTGTATTTATACGCGTTGTGAAAGGAGAAACTAAATCTAAAAGGATCAAAAGATTCGTGCACCGACTAATTATAAACCCAAATAGCTAGCAGCTATCTGTTGAAATAACCAATTAAAATTCTGCGATTTCATCTTGCATCCAGTGTCATTCTGGTCTCCTCGTTTTTGAGGGATTCCAGAGTAGCTGTTTTAACTTTCTACAACACTGTGCAATATTCATATTCATCCATCCATATTTTGAAAGTTTTATTTCTATTATATTCTTTATAGTCTTTACTTGTCATACTATAATATTATTTTTCTACAGACACATAAATGAAAGGTGTGGCATTAAACAAATTTAGAAAATTTTGATTATAATATTCCATATATATTTATATATAAATGGAAACTGTATATATATAACTGTATAATATTGAAAGAATTAGTCATAGAAGTCTACATACATTTATCTGTCGAGTTTCAAACATTCAGTTCATCAGGGATCAAGAAATATCTTATAAATACTTTAATATTTAAATTTTATAAAATTTTTATAATACTATTCTGTCTAAATTTTACAAAACTTTTAACATTTCTTTTTCACGAAATTTAAAGTATCAACAATATTTTTGCTCGACACATTTATTCTCGCAATCGATGAAAAATTGCCGACATTTTAAACTATCTGGACTCATTTTACAGCATAAACTCTCCATTTTGTAAAATGCCGTTTCGTAATTGAAAAATGTCATTTTGGAAGAGGCAAATAAAGATACTTCTCTCGAAAATTTAGCACATTCAAACACATCCTTATGAAAATATGAACGATCATGGTGTCCCGAAGGTTGAAGTCTCCCCTTTACAGCAATCTCTCAGAACTTTCCACCAAGTTATATAAGAGTTAGAACTGTCGAAGCAATTTTTCACTGAATGTACAAACACTTTCTACACCCGTTGTATGTAAACTTCTTCAACTGACTATGGTGAAAAAAAGTCCTGGCTTCGCAGCAGTGACAAAGACAAGATTTCAAAGAGTTAAATAGTCTTTATTTACAAACGAACTAGCTTAAATCGCAAACGCAGCGCACAACTCTCGATACAATAATAGATATATAATTCGCTTTTTTTTATTTTCATCGTTTTATTTCATCTGCACCTTTATTCTCTCTTTCTCTCTCATTCTCATCCACTCTTTCACACGCATACACACTTACATACTCTCTCTCTCTCTCTTTCTCTCTTTCTCGATTACACGTCACGATCATCGGCCACGTTATACCACAGTCCAAGTAGGAAACGCATGTTCAATCTCGAGCCCTCCTTCGAGTTCGTTCCGCGCATTTCTCCCCTTAAGTGACTCTATTATTTCATCGATCAGTCGGTGGTTCTACTTACAAACGCAGCGAGAGAAACGCGTTTTCACCCGCTCGTTGGCTAGGGTGAGAGAGCGGCGGGTGGCTGGAAGTGGCCGACGACAATCACGGGGAATCGCAGCGATAACGATAATGATGTTACAAGAATAAATTATAATGCTATTAAGTACAATAATGAAGGTGACGTCACGCCTTTTCGAATTTTCGAAGAAAGAAACGACGCCCCACGACCACGGCCGGAAACTCGCGGCGTGACGTTACGAGCTCCTCATCATCATCGTCGTCGTCGTCGTGTATTCCTCTATGTATTCCACGATTTCCATCTCTTACTCTCCGGTTCCTTCATTTTTATTTTATTTTATTTTATTTTTTTCTTCTTCTTTCGTTTAAATGCGTAACCGTAATGATAAG